AAAAAAAAAAAAAAAAGAAAAGAAAATTAAAAAAGAAATTATATATTTGAAATAGAAACAATAATGGCTAAGATTTTGCTAAAGTTCATGTACTGACTTAAAAAATGATATGTCCAGCTTTTTTTCTTTGTAACAATATTACAATAACGTTTATTCCTTCCCTTTAAAAAATGTTAAGACAAGGCTGGAAGTCAGCTTCAACCATTTGACAAGGACAATACCATAGTGAAATGCAGAGCAACAAGATAGAAAGAACCTGGGTATGTTTACAGATCCACTTTCTACTCCAGAGAGCAAAACTTTTATCTTGTTTTGTTGTGTTTCTATTTTGTTTGAGTCACTTATTTTTGGTGTCTTTGTGTAACAATATTTAAATTGTACTCTAACTCAGGGTTTCTCAACCTTGCCACTGTTGATGGTTTGGGCCAGTAATTCTTGTGGTAGAAGGCTGTCCTGTGCAGTGTAGATGCTTAGCAGCATCCCTGGCTTCTATATCTTACTGTCATTACTTTGAAGCATTGAGATCAATGTCGAGAAGAGCCTGCATATGGAAATTTCATCCCATTTTGTAAGTTATTTTACCTTGGAGGATATTCCCTGATGATGTAGATTTTGGATATAGAGTAGTTATGAAGTATTGCAGAATATCTCTTTGGGACAGGATACCTCAATTCTTTGGCACTGGGAACACAGTTCAGACAATTGTGTCCTTCCCAGTGTCAATAGATAAGGCCTACAAAGCAAATATGATAAAACAAAAGCATTCCAGCTCTATGTAATTATACCAAAATCATTGAAAGAGACCTGAGATAAAAGAAAATGGAGGATATTGCTGCAAATGCAGACTGGCAGGGAGTGATAAAGCTGCCATCTGATGGAACAAAGGGGAAAGGATTTCCTTTGAATGAAATATCCACTGACTGCAAACTTGTCCTTCTTAAGATAGAGGCCTTGTGTAGGTCACTCCAAATGCATATGAGTATATTCCTTTTTAAGTCTCTTCACAATATCTGAATCTAGGTGTCAAGACCAAACAATGGAGACTTACAGCCTAGACAGGTAGAAAGTATGGTGCACAGGGTGGGAGCAAGAATTTCCTGAGCCCAGTTTTTTAATAAGATGTCTCCACAGCCTTAGACAGAATTGGGTGGAAATCATTAAAGGCACCAATTCCCTTTAAGCTAGTCACCATGGGGAATTGTCTGACTTTCTAAGAAAACCAGTTGATCTAGTTACAAGACTGAAAATTGGCATTTACCCTAGGCTAATCATACTGCACTATAGCTATTTATATAAATATCTGTCTGTAGATGCAGTTGTGAGCTTTTGAAGGCACACTTCTACATCCCCAATGCCTGGAGCCTTGGGTCTCAAGCAGTGTTCTTCGGATGTAGTTTCTTAGTAACACTTGCTGAAAGGAATTGAAATTGATTATTAGCCTATGGGTACTTTAAAGATGTCTGGATTTCTGGGATTTTAAAAATATGCTTATGACTTCAGGTGTCCTCCTTCCTTCCTTCAAGGATCATTTTCTTTTAATATGCTTTGGAAAGCAGATGCTTATCTGCCTACTTGTCCCTTAATGCTATGATTGCTCTCTTGACCTTACAGAAAAAATCATTGCAAAAAAGCTATCCAACACAATTTCTTCATGCTTCAGAGCTATAAAACCCCATAGTGGGAAATCATTTCTGGTTTTCCTTGTTCTTTTTTGTTATCCTCTAAGCTGAGAAAGGACACATTGAGATATCATATCCTATTTGTTTTCTTTCTCACTCTAGCTTGTTGGCAGAACTTTAACGTTAACAAGTTGTATCTTCCCTAATAGCATGAAAGACAATCATGATTGGATCTACCAGCCTTAGCTTTTATATGTTTATCTTATCATATCTATCCTCTCTACAGAAAGCTTCTTTTTCTAACCTATTTGCATATTAGTAGGTCCAATGTCATCAGTTTCCTGGAAAGAAAACCATAGAAAACAAAGATTTAAGGTGGTTTTTAGGATAATATTGCCAATTTTGCAAAAATAGTATCATGGTATATTAGTTTTTTAGGGCTACCATTATAAAGTACCACAAACTGAGTGGCTTAAACATTTATTATATCATAGTTCTGGAAGCTAGTAGTCCATCTAGATGTAAGCTGAGTTGGTTCTTTCTGAGGGATGTGAGGAATAATCTGTCCCATGCCTCTCACTTCACTGCTGATGGTTTGGTGGAAACCTTTGGTGATCCTTGGCTTCTAGAGTGTCACCCAGATCTCTGCCTTCATCTTTACATAAAGATCTCTCTATGTGATTGACTGTGTCCAGATTTCCCCTTAATAAGTACATCAGCCACACTGGATTTGGTCCTACCCTGATGACCTCCTTTTAACTTGGTTACCTGTGTAGAGACTGTATCTTCAAAAAAAGATCCCACTTTGAGGTACTGGGGATTAGACTGTAACATATCTTTTGGGGAAGACAAAATTCAACCAAAAACATCTGGTTACATTGATATTGAATAGATTAGAAGTCATTTGCCCAAGATTACAAACTAGTAAATAAAAAACCCCAAATGCATAAATATTCTTTCTTGACTTCAAGGTCCTTGCCCTTAAGCCACTGATTGTCTATGGAGACGAAGATGCTACCATTTCCCAAGGAATTTTGCAAATTTCTGGAGGTTTTTGACTCAGTAATTAGGAGAGTGCTTTTGTCATTTATTGGGCAAGAGTCAGATGCTTAACACACTACAATGTGTGGAATAATCTTGCAATTGAAGAATTGTCTGGTTTCTTGCATGACTTTCTTGTGCCCAGTCAGATTTTCCAGGAGGTGAAACACTGGTTTCTAATAACCTGAATCCTGAAGTTAACGTGCAAAGTGTTTTTTGAAAGGCTTTATTTCCCACTGAGTTTCCAAGAATAAAACTATAGTGTAAGTGAGGGAAGATTGAACTTTATTATGTTCAGAATTTCACCATGTAAGAAAATCTTGTTAGTAGCTCACAGCACTTGCTGGTTTGATGGGGCACATATTCAGGTGATCTGCACTCACAGCCATGGCATTTGCAGTGATTCTGCATACTGGTCCAATTATCCAACTGTTTTATTATACCTTTGCTCTAGTCGGTCCTACCTGAGTATATATCTCATTTCTGTTGAGATATATACTATCAGATTATCAGAGTAAATTACTTCGTTTTTATTTTGTGTTACTGTGATATTGTGCTGGCCTAGAGCCAGAACTGGAGCAAAACTATTTTATAAAATGCAAAACTGTTTTTAGATAAGTTGAAATGGCTGCCCCATTCTCCTTACAATAACTACTGTCCTTGGCCTCTGTAAATAGAACTGCCAGTTTGTCTTCAAAACTATGTAAAGCTGCTTACCTTTTCTTATCAGTAACTGCTAAAATCTGTAACTTCTATCACCACCCAGACAATGTGTAAACAAATGTATATCCTGACTTCTGTAAACCACTGAGGTAACAAACAGAATGACAAAACTCCCCTAGCCCTTGGAGTGTCCGGAGACCCCCGCCCTTGTCTCCACCCAGGAGGTGAATCACAGAATCCCCTAGCCCTTGGAATGTCCGGAGACCCCCGCCCTTGTCTCCACCCAGGAGGTAATTTACAGAATCCACTAGCCCTTGGAATGTCTGAAGCCTTTTCATCCCCATCCCCACCCCTCACCCCCACTCCCAAGGTGGTTTTCCGGGTATAAAAAATCGTGGCACCCTCCTGTTGCCACCACAGGTTGGAGAGACGTGAGTCCTCTGTGGTCGCCGGCATAAATAAATGACCCTGCAATCTGGCATACTTTTGTCTTGTGGTAACTTTCTACGCTCCGGTCAAATACAACATTACTATATATATATATGAAAATAAAGTATATAGGTAGGCAAGTTTTATTACGATGATTTTTATTTCTAAATAGTAAAAATGGAAATGCAACTGTTTATTTTAAAAGAGAATCATGGGTTTTGATAAGGTTGTGGATAACTCTGGACTCCCAAACTTATTCATTCTCACATCACCATCAAGGTTTGCCATTTCCATGTGTCTATCTCCTGAGCTATTGCTTACTTGATGTTTTTCTTTATTCTGATTCACTGTTTTGTTTTACTTAAATAAATTGCAAGCAAAAGAAAACTAAATCACTACCCTGAATACAAAACCAGGATCACTAGCTTCATATAGAAGCAAATATAAATAAATATTTAGTGAAAACATTGGTTTTTCAGCTTATTTTAACCTAGAAAAGTAAAAAGTATACTGCGAAATCCAAGTAACGATAGACCTAATCAATTTTACTATACCAAGCAGCATATATGTTATTTTATTCAATTTTCCCAGTAACCTTCAAATAAATATGAATTATCTCCCATTTACAGGTGAGGAAAGTACGATGTAGAAAAACGACTTAAAAACTGGTCTAAAAGTTATGTCATGAACAGTTCTCAATTTGTTGCCCCAGTCATTGTCCCTCATTGTATTTACAGACAGATGCACTTCAACTTATTTATTTTTACATTTTAAAATTTAATTATCTGATGACATAGCAAAATGCCCAAGAAAGCTCAATTCTTTTTAATATAATTAGGTTTTCAATTTTGTGTGATATAGCTATATGGATACATATACATATATTTGTGTGTGTGTGTGTGTGTGTGTATATATATATATGCATTTATATTTATTTACTCAAGTATGGAATGTATGTGTGTATGTACATTTAGGTGTGTGTAGAGACATACACACATTACAGCAAAAACAATTTATTTATAATTAACTGCCTTTTTTTAAAAAGGGAGAATGCCTCCAAAGGTGAAACCTTTCTTTACAAGCTGGATATGTATTTGGATGCAAATCTCAAGCTGAACTAAGCTGTTGAGTCAATAAAAACTGGTGTGTGGAAATAGGGAGGGCTGAAGAGGCTTCTTTAGCATTTGGATGGGTAGAGGAAAAGAAGGAGGAATTGGGAAAGATAAGAAGAAAGAGGAGAAAGGGAGAGAGCAAGAGAAATGAATGGGGATACATCTGGTAATCTGTTGGTACTTTATCCATCAACATATCTAAAGGTAAGTTTTATGTGCTACCTGCATATTTTAGCTTCGAATACACATTTAACTAATACATAAACGTTCCAATGTAAGATATTTATGTGTTCCACTTATAGTAATCTTGTGTACCACCAGGAGTATTTCATACCACCATTTGGGCAGCATGCTATGTTCATGCAAGTGTACACATCAACCGTCTGAATCAGGTATATTCATATTCAGTCTTACAATTTCAGATCATGATAAAAGCAAAAAAATTTAAAAAAGTAAATTTCTTCATGACCTTCCTTTTTTACAGTGAGCTGTTCATGACAGATAATTACAGTAAGAAACATTACTAGCTTTAAAAAAATAAACCGTATTGTGTATATTTAATATATATATGATGCTATAGGAGATACATATATATATATAGTAAAATGGGTGCTGTGGTGGGACAAATTAACATATCCATTATCTCACATAGTTAACCACTTCTGCCCCTGTGGCAAAAGCAGCTATAATCTACTCATTTAACAAAAATCCCAAGTACAATGCACTATTATTAACTATAGTCTTCCTGCTGTACATTAGATCTTTCAACTTGTTCATGCTGTCTATTTGCTGTTTTGTATTCTTTGAACTGCATCCCTCCAAATTCTTCTCCCCACCCCAATGATAACCACTGTTTTGTTCTTTGTCTCTATATATTTGATTTGTTTTTCACCTTATGATTACATTTATAAGTGAGATAAAGCAAGTTTTCTTTCTGTTACTGGCTTATTTCACTTAGTATAATGTTCTCCAAGTCCATCTATGTTGCAACAAATGGCAGGATCTCCTCCTTTTCTAAGGCTGAATAGTTTCCGTTGTGTGTGTGTGTGTGTGTGTGTGTGTGTGTGTGGTGTGTGTGTGTGTATATATATATATATATGTGTGTGTGTGTATATATATATATATACACACACACACACACACACACACCAGTTTCTTTATCCATGTTTTTTATTGATGGACATCTAAGTTTTTTTTCATATATTGGCTATTGTGATTAGTACTGCAATGAACATGGGAGTGCAGATATCTTTTTCTTTTAATATATACTCAGAAGATGGATTTCTGGGTCATATGGTATTTCTATTTTTAATTTATTTAGGAACCTCCATACTGTTTTTCATAATGGCTTCACAAATATACATTCCTACCAACAGTTTAGAAGGGTTCCCTTTTCTCTACACCCCTGACAATTATTATCTCATGTCTTTTTGATAACAGCCATCCTAAAGGTGTGAGGCGATATGGCATAGCAGTTTGCAATGCAATGCCCTGATGATTAGTGATGTGGAACGCCATTTCATATATCTATTGGCCATTTTTATGTCATCTTCGGAGAAATATTTATTCAAGTCCTTTGCCCATTTTTTATTTGTGTTATATAGTTTCTTACCATTGAGTTGTACATGTTCTTTATAAATCTTGGATACTGACCTCTTATCCAATATACGCTTTGCAAATTATTTTTCTCAATGTGTAGGTTACCTCTTCATTTTGTTGACCATTTTCCTTGCTATGCAGAAGATTTTAGTTTGATGTAGTCCTGTTTATTTAATTTTTGCCTTTGTAAACTGAACTTTGGTGTGAGATCCAAGAAATCATTGCCAAGACCAATGTCAAGGACCTTTTCCTCCTCTATATTTCCTTTTAAGTGTTTTATGATTTCAGGTCTTTTTAAAAAAGTTTGACTTGAATTTTGTGTATGGTATATGATATGGGTCCAATTTTATTCTTTGAAATGTGAAAAGTTTTTTCCAGTACCATTTATTCAAGAGATTTTCCTTATCCTGTTGTGTCTTTTTGATGTCTGTGTCAAAATTAGTTCACCATATATGTTTGGATTTATATCTTGGCTCCGTATTCTGTTTTTCTGTTCTTTGTCTGTTTTTAATGCCTGTACTATTACTTTTTTGGTTACTATATCTTTGTAATATAATTTTAAATCAGGAAGTAACATGCTTACAACCTT